AGCAGACGCTCGGGAGAGGCCTCCGAGAGGGGGCCAGAGCTAACCTCCTCCTCCTCCAACCTCCTCCCTCCTCCTCCCTCCTCCCTCCTCCTCCTCCTCCTCCGCCTCCTCCCTCCTCCTCCTCCTCCTTCTCCTCCTCCTCCTCAAGTCGTGCCAGAGACTGTGAAAAGACGTATTGTTGCATGCCGTGAGGCGTCCCACATGCCTAATGGAAGCAAGTCTGGCCAACGATGGGAGTCACGGGTGGTCAACGATCCTCACGGTGAGGCCAACGCTGTTGATCCGTTGGCGGCGCGAGACACTGCTGAGCCGTGGCGATCCGCACTGATCTGGGAAACGACGCAAGAGTCGCCGAACGTGAACCGTAAGCGCAGGGGGCAAGGGCCCCGAATTGCAGGGCGCGTCGACCGGAGCCGACGAAGGGCCAGAGCGGCTAGAAAAAAAGCCAAAGCACAGTGCTCCGAGACACCAGGCGCGCCATCGATCCTCACGGCGAGGCCGCCGCTGCTGATCCGATGGCGGTGTGAAAATTGTGATATAGAACTCACTCGTGCGATGCAGTGCAATGCATCATATGAATGAGTCGCTCCGATGGCAAGAGACAATCAACGCATATGCAACTGACGATGTAATGTTCTATGCTTGCAGGGCAATCGGCTACCCTGATGGAAACTTCGCAGGGAACCACCTACCCTCAGAGCGGCCTTCCCGACATGCAACGCAAGCCTGGAAGCGATAGGAAGACTCCCTTGGAGTGCACACGGAGGGGTCGGGCGACGCTTGGAGCTGGCCGACAGGGCAGAGAGGGCCGGTACGGGCGAGCCACGCACAGCGTGGTGCAGGCGGAGCCAAACGCGGCAGCGCTCAAGGGCATGGAACGCACAGAGACATCCTAGTACTTTATGTCTCCCTGGAAGCGCGCGTCCGACCCGAAAATATAAAATACTCATCTTGTAGTATACCATTTCCCGAGCGGTGAGGCCAGAAAACGCCCGCCACGACGCATATACTTATAATACTTCAGCTTCCTTGGTGCGTGCGTCGCCCTTGGGGGGCAGCGCACACGTAGTGTTAGTAAGTTGGAGCGACACAGGAGGGACCCCGGCGCCCCCGCACCGACGGCCACTCCGGCGAGAGGTCACTCTTGCGTTAAGTCGGGCCTGTCCCCCTACAGGGCGATTTTCGATGACAAATCACAAGTAGTCAAAAAATATTCAAAAATTATAAAAAAATACTCAGAGAACTATTTTTGAATATTCCTCCTGCAGAGGGACAGGCCCGACTTACCTCTTGCGTGGAGCTGGTCCTCACGAAGAGGCTGTCTCCATCGATCCGTTTGGCGCGTGAAGCCGCGCGCGTGCAGGGCCACGGTCTGCGGGAGGGCTGAGGCAGAGTGCCACGGAGCCACATGGCCGAGGATCCGACGAAAGGACCACGCACAAACACACTCACTTTTGCGTCGCGGCGCGGCAGAGGCAATCGGCTCGTGCGCTCCAGCAGCAAGGGAGAGAGAGAGAGATAGAGGCAGGGCAAAGAGCGGCCGCAGACAAACACACACGTGTACACACACTGACACGCACACACGCACGCACACACGCACACACACACACACACACACGCACGCACGCACGCACGCACACACACATGCGCACACACGCACTGACACGCACACACAAACACACACACACACACTCGCGGCATACACACAAGCACACATAACACCACAAACATACACACACACACACGCGCGCGACACACACACACACACACTTTTTCTCGTCAGCGGCGAGGCAGAGAAGCTGCTCCAGAGGGTGGCGATTCGGGACGACCGAAAGGCGAATTGTCGGCACACACACTTACACATACACACAGACACATATACACACGCACGCACTCACACGCACGCGCGCACGCGCATGCTTCTGAGGGAGAAGCACGACAGGAGGACGAGCAGGACGAGCAGGGGGAGCCGGGCGAGGAGGACGTGGCGCACGGGGACGACAAGGACGAAGCGGACAGGAAGGCGGCCTCCTCGTCCCCTTTGTCCTTTTCCTCCTTTTGTCTCGTTTCCTCATTCCTTCCCCCACCCCTCCTCCTTCTCCTCCTCCTCATTCTCCTCCTCCTCCTCCTCCTCCTTCTTTCCTCATTCCTTCCCTCACCCCTCCTCCTCCTCCTCATCCTCCTCCTCCTCCTACTCCTCCACCTCCCTCCCTCTGGGTAGACCCAAAAGGTACCGATGCCGCTGCTCCCCGGACCCCTCCCGGGGTGCATTCTGACCAGAATTTCGAGGCGAATCCAGCGGTGGCGACGAGGGCCTCCCAGGAGGCCCACACTGGGGGGAAAGGGCGAAGGGTAGAGGTATGGGTATCTTTTCCCCTCCGACAAAAGGCGATCAGGAGGGCGAGGAACGCCCCGGTCCGCCGTATCCCGAGGCGCCCCCGCACGCGGTGAAGAAGACCACGGCGTCGCGGAAGAGCTGCACGTTCGCCCGCAGCGACTCCTGCCGCAGGCACTGCCTCCTCCTGGTCCTCGTCGCCCTAGTGGACATCCTCTCCGTCTTCCTCGTCGCCTTCGTCGTCCTCGGCCTCGTTCTCGTCGTCCTCACCCGCCCTCGGATCCCTCGTCGCCCGACGGGAGGAGGCAGAAGAGGATGTCGGGCAAAGGAAGGGTAAAGGCGAAGCGAGAAGAACGGGAGGGGAGGGGGGAAGGGGTGGGGAAGAAAAGCAAACGGTCCGCCCCGCCCTCCTCTGAGCCCCCCCTTTCTCCATCCCCAGTCCCGGGATCCATTCCACCCTTTTCTCATCCCCCCTCAAGCCTCCCTCCCAATTTTGTCCCCGACCCTCCAGCGCCCCCCCTCCACCCGACACGCCACCATCACCACCACCGCCCATGCACACAAGCACGCACACGCGCACACGCACACAGAGGTGTACATAGCACCCTGCAGCTGCGGATGAGAGTGAGCGGGCGGCGAGGACGTCGACAGCCTGCGGGACTCTGAAGAAGCCCGCCGCAGGCGTCCAACTTTTGCAAGTTGCTCAGTGAGCCCGCCACAGCGCCGCTATTTTCGGTGAAGCGATGTGGGGTGGGTCGCGGGTGGGTCGCAGGTGGGTCGTGGGTGTGTCGCGGGTGGGCCGTGGGTGGGTCTCCGGGTGTGTCGCAGGTGGGTCGCGGGTGGGTCGCGGGTGGTTCGCGGGTGGGCCGCGGGCGGGTCGCGGGCGGGTCGCGGGCGGGTCGCGGGGTGGGTTTCGGGTGGGTCGCGGGTGGGTCGCGGGCCGGGTCGCGGGTGGGTCGCGGGCCGGGTCGCGGGGGGGACGACGACAACAAACACCACCACCACCACCACCACCACCACAACAACAACAACAACATGAACAACATGAACAACAACAACAACAACAACAACAACAACAACAACAACAACAACAACAACAACAATTACTAGCACGTGGGGACACTCCGTTCTCACCAGTGCCAGGGTTTTCATAGGAGGCGGGCAATACCCCCACTTTGTGGGGGGGCCGGTTCAAGCTCTACCAAATTTCCAAACGACTCTTCGCCACCACCCACACCCAGCTTCCCGCCCTATGACGTTCGGACACTTCACTTCGTGGCATGCGGACGACCGTGGCTACTATTCAGGGCCCCGCGGCCGACGACGACGGCGTGCGCGCGCGAAGAAAAAACGAATGTGTCCCGCATGGTATTATTTGACAGGGATGATGGCCCTGGCAGGTGCGCAACCGTTGTTGCAGAAGTTCGAAAAAGTTGCTCGCAAAAGCCCGTTTGACAGAAATGTTTAAAAAGTGTTGGGTTTCCTACGAATCCGCAAGAGCGCGCGGGATGAACTTTCGACAATTTTTTTTGAAAAACCATTGGTTTTTTTGATGTTTTTATGTTAAAATCGCTACGAAAACTAAGGTTTTGGACGGATTTCATCTTGCGTGCGCGAATGTCCACTTTACCTTATTTTTTGCGAGGGATTCTTGAAGTTTGGATATGTTAGAACAAGAAATGTCATTTTATAGTGTTTTTTGCAAGGGAAAACGGGGGACAACAAAACAACCGGATCTGGACCACATCGTTTTGCCTGAGGCTTCCTCACGAAAATAATGAAAACGTGGCTGCGGCCTGGGCGCGGCGGGGGGGCCGCGCACCAGGGGTCCCAACAATAATTATTTTTAAGAAGAAATAGTGTTCAACATGAACAACAACGACAACAATTACTAGCACGTGGGGACACTCCGTTCTCACCAGTGCCAGGGTTTTCATAGGAGGCGGGCAATACCCCCACTTTGTGGGGGGGCCGGTTCAAGCTCTACCAAATTTCCAAACGACTCTTCGCCACCACCCACACCCAGCTTCCCGCCCTATGACGTTCGGACACTTCACTTCGTGGCATGCGGACGACCGTGGCTACTATTCAGGGCCCCGCGGCCGACGACGACGGCGTGCGCGCGCGAAGAAAAAACGAATGTGTCCCGCATGGTATTATTTGACAGGGATGATGGCCCTGGCAGGTGCGCAACCGTTGTTGCAGAAGTTCGAAAAAGTTGCTCGCAAAAGCCCGTTTGACAGAAATGTTTAAAAAGTGTTGGGTTTCCTACGAATCCGCAAGAGCGCGCGGGATGATTTTTTTTTTTTTTTTTTTTTTTTTTTTTTTTTTTTTTTTTTTTTTTTTTTTTTTTTTTTAAAAAAAAAAAAAAAAAATGTTTTTTGATGTTTTTATGTTAAAATCGCTACGAAAACTAAGGTTTTGGAAGGACTTCGTCTTGCGCGCGCGAATGCCCACTTTACCTTACTATTTGGAAGGATTTCGTCTTGCGCGCGCGAAGTCCACTTGGCAAGGGATTCTCGAAGTTTGGTTATGTTAGAACAAGAAATGTCATTTTATAGTGTTTTTGCAAGGGAAAGCGGGGGGGAACAAAACAAACGGATCTGGACCAACCCGTTTTGCCTGAGACTTCCTCACGAAAATGATGAAAATGTGGCTGCGGCCTAGGCGCGGCGGGGGGGGCGTGCACCAGGGGCCCCAACAATAATTATTCTTTAGAAGTAATAATGTTCAACAACAACAACAACAACAACAACAACAACAACAACAACAACAACAACAACAACAACAACAACAACAATTACTAGCACGTGGGGACACTCCGTTCTCACCAGTGCCAGGGTTTTCATAGGAGGCGGGCAATACCCCCACTTTGTGGGGGGGCCGGTTCAAGCTCTACCAAATTTCCAAACGACTCTTCGCCACCACCCACACCCAGCTTCCCGCCCTATGACGTTCGGACACTTCACTTCGTGGCATGCGGACGACCGTGGCTACTATTCAGGGCCCCGCGGCCGACGACGACGGCGTGCGCGCGCGAAGAAAAAACGAATGTGTCCCGCATGGTATTATTTGACAGGGATGATGGCCCTGGCAGGTGCGCAACCGTTGTTGCAAAAGTTCGAAAAAGTTGCTCGCAAAAGCCCGTTTGACAGAAATGTTTAAAAAGTGCTGGGTTTCCTAAGAAATCCGCAAGAGCGCGCGGGATGAATTTTGAAACTTTTTTGTTGAAAAACCATTGGGTTTTTCATGTTGTTATGTTCAAATCGCTACGAAAACTAAGGTTTTGGAAGGATTTCATCTTGCGCGCGCGAGTGTGCACTTCGTGTCATTTTTTGCAAAGGATTCTTGAAGTTTGGTTATGTTAGAACAAGAAATTTTATTTTATAGTGTTTTTTGACAGGGAAAGCGGGCGTCAACAAAACAACCGGATCCGGACACCCACGTTTTGCCTGAGACTTCCTCACGAAAATGATGAAAATGTGGCTGCGGCCTAGGCGCGGCGAGGGGGGCGCGCACCAGGGGTCCCAACAATAATTATTCTTTAGAATAAATAATGTTCAACAACAACAACAACAACAACAACAACAACAACAACAATTACTTAGCACGTGGGGACACTCCGTTCTCACCAGTGCCAGGGTTTTCATAGGAGGCGGGCAATACCCCCACTTTGTGGGGGGGCCGGTTCAAGCTCTACCAAATTTCCAAACGACTCTTCGCCACCACCCACACCCAGCTTCCCGCCCTATGACGTTCGGACACTTCACTTCGTGGCATGCGGACGACCGTGGCTACTATTCAGGGCCCCGCGGCCGACGACGACGGCGTGCGCGCGCGAAGAAAAAACGAATGTGTCCCGCATGGTATTATTTGACAGGGATGATGGCCCTGGCAGGTGCGCAACCGTTGTTGCAGAAGTTCGAAAAAGTTGCTCGCAAAAGCCCGTTTGACAGAAATGTTTAAAAAGTGTTGGGTTTCCTACGAATCCGCAAGAGCGCGCGGGATGAGATTTTGACATTTTTTTGTTGAAAAACCATTGGTTTTTTGATGTTTTTATGTTAAAATCGCTCCGAACACTAAGCTTTTGGAAGGATTTCGTCTTGCGCGCGCGAATGTCCACTTTACCTTATTTTTTGCAAGGGATTCTTGAAATTTGATTATATTAGAACAAGAAATGTCATTTTATAGTGTTTTTTGCAAGGGAAAACGGATTACAACAAAACAACCGGATCTGGATCACATCGTTTTACCTGAGGCTTCCTCACGAAAATGATGAAAATGTAGCTGCGGCCTAGGCGGCGCAGGGGGGGCGTGCACCAGGGGGCCCAACAATAATTATTCTTTAGAATAAATAATGCTCAACAACAACAACAACAACAACAACAACAACAACAACAACAACAACAACAACAAACACAACAACAACAATCATTCTAATACTGTTCGCCCTTATCTGCTCGAGTGTCGAATAACGCGGGTTTCCCAAACCCTCGATACCCGCCCTTTTCGTCTTCGATAGAACCCCTTTTGGGGGTATACCTTTCTTCCCTGCAGGCCGGGCCCCGGCAAGCGGCGGAGCGGCCGCGGACCGTCGGCCTGGCCAGCGGCAGCGCTGATCGGCGGGGCGGCCGCGGACCGTCGACCCGACCCCAAGAGGGACGGACAGGGGACCGACCACGACGACGACGACAACGACGTCGACGACGACGGCAACGACGGCAACGACGGCGACGGCGACGGCGACGACGACGAACGAAGCGAGAGCGAGAGAGAACGACAGCAGAACCACGAAGGACACGAAGTAGGCCAAGAAGGGCGGGGGACACGAAGGAAATGCGTATGGGGCCACGAAGAGCGCGAACGAGCGTGGGCTACGAAGTGCAGATAATGCGGGGCCACAAAAGGCAACGATGGGGCCACTGAGGGCAGCACCTGGGCCACGTAGGACAATGAGGGGGCCACAAACGGCGACAGCGGGGCCACGAAGGGCATGCACATGGGGCCACAACGGGCACGAACGAGCGGGGGCCACGAAGGGCATACGTATGTTGGGCCGCGGAGGGTACGGACGTCCACTGAGGGCAGCAACGGGGACACGAAGGGCAGCGAGGGGGCCACGAAGGGCGACAGCGGGGCCACGAAGGGCATGCATATGGGGCCAC